AAGAAATTCAGTTTTGAGTTGACATGAAGTCACAGTTGTTGTTTTATGTGCATCAATGTTGGCAAAAAACATCGAATGTCAAGGGACGGACAAAATCAAGTTTTTAGCTTGAGCATTTGTCTTAGTACACAAAATGCTTCTTGTTTTAGACCAAATTTTATTTGAGATCTAATTCTAACTTTTTTTCCATTGAAGAAACAAATGTTCTATTTATTTTCCCATCATTTTACAAACTTAAGCCCGTGATTGAATAAAACACTTTTCGACCCCATTCAACAAGATAACTATTACTTTTTTGGTAAATAAAATTTCACCAGGACACTACCCTAATTTGAATCTAAGTCAACTTCCTCACGAGAGTTACCGTTTTCCAAATTGACACCAACATATTATGGTTAAACTCCACAAGTTACATTCAACACCAAGATAAGTGTACAAATGATGTCTCTTCATATTACAAGTTTAAGTTCAGCATCCTAGAACTTTTACAAGAAAGGTTTACAAAAATAATAATAACAATTTGAGTCGGTTTGATCAAATGATGTTCGCGAGGTAGTAAGGATTGGCAAGGATCCATCGTCCTTGCTTCAAGTCATTGTAGGATCACTTGGTCGCCTTCTTAGGAGTGGCAAGATATGGAGGAATTCTTTAAAAGGCCAATCGTGCACCACACCATACCAAAGCCTCTAGCATTCCAGCCACAACCCTTATAAGCATCAAATTAGCCAAATCTGCACATAATGAAACCATTTCATGTTACATCAGAATTAAAACTCAATAAGATGTTTCATGTTCCAAAGTCAAAATTCAGTTTTTCAAGCAACAATTCCAACCAATTCAAATTTCTGTGCCTCAAGGTTCATGTTACAATCTCAAGATCAATTTCAAGCAAATTCGATTTTAAGCATTTCGTGATTCAAGTATCATGTTCAACATATGTTTAAATCTGAGTTTTTAATCCACTCAATGCACACTAAAGCCTCTAGCATTCCAACCAAGCCCCTAAGTAGACAAACTTTAACACACTGCGCAATACATTTTTTCATTACATGTGCCAATCTAGTTTCAGCTTGTTAATTCAACCCATCATTCAAAAAAGTCACATTTCATACTAAGTGTAAGAAGAAAATTTTCAAAGCAACAACATTCAGGTAATTCGAGCCAAGCCTATTTAAGGTCAGAATTTCAAAGAAGGTTCAGTAGAGACCACATGAGAACATGAGAACAAAACTCAGAATTAGCAAAAATGAAAAAAACAAGCTTAGCACATGGTACAGACACACCAATCATGGAAATGGAAAAAGATGAAAAACTTCAACAAATATTACAGTCTGAGCAACAAATAAAGGGGGGACCATTTGCATTCTAGGGTTGCTTTTGTGCTCACTATAGCCACAACACAATGGTAGATTTCGTACAAGACGCCCCTCCACTCAGTATCGCGCGCCTCACCCATGTCCTGAGTCGTACAAGCCCTCTCTGCTCACACGAAAAAAAAAACCTAATTCAAAACCCTAGTTTCAATCCTTATTTAAAGCAATCACTATTCATTAAGAAGGGGGGAAACAAAACAAAAATTCATTCTAAACCTTACTCACTCAAAGCTCGTTTCCAAAGTAATAATAACCAATCAGGCAAAAAGAAAGAAAAGAAGAGGAAAATAGAAGGAGAAGAGGAAAGAATGTAGACGTATCTTGTCCTCGCCCTAGCTTGCGCGTCGGACTAACTCCGATTTGGTATGGAACCACCTCTTTGATCTTTTCTGTTTTTGTATTTTAGCTCCTCGTGCTTTGTGGATTATAAACCCTCTTTTAATTGATTGATTCGAAGGATTTGTTGTAGATCTAGGGTTTATGCAGGGACTTGAGATTTAGGGGTTTAGGTTAGGATTTTGGGATTTTTGAGTTCAGAAATGGACTTAGAAGGGTCGGTTCTTTAGAGATAGGGCTTTTGATGGGTGTTTAGCCAGAGAGAGGTGGTACCACCGCCGAATCCAGTCGCCGACCACCATCATCTCCGACGTTGTTTTTTGGTTCCGGCGAATGTTGGGTTGGAGTGAGTTGGAGAGTACTGGGAGTGGGAGAGGAAAACTGAGCGTGAAGGGTTTAGATTTGTCCCTAGTTTTCGTTTCTCTTCATCTTGGCCGTTGGAGTGTGAGAATGACACGTGTCGTCATCATAGAATACAATCAGCATCATCATCCGGATCAAGTGCAAGCCCATACCATGCACAGTTTTTTCCAACCGTTGGATGTTGAGTCTTCTTTGGGTCACTCGTGATCCACGATCCATATTTTGTTCGGGATAATCAACTTATTTGACTAGGGTTTTCTATAAACCCTTGGCCAGCATGGGCCTTTCCTCTTAAGCTTGGGGTGTCCGTGTTTCCCCCCTGTTTGCTTTTGTTTTCTGGATTTTCTTTTTTCTATTTTTATTTCTTCTTTATATTTTTGGTTAAATTCTTTATTTATTTATTTTTACATATTTTATTTTGACGTTTTACTATTACGAACATGTATAAAATAGATAAAAAGAAATAGTTTTTATAATTTTTATGTATATATTAGAATCTTTTATTTAATATTAAGAAAATATTTCTAGTAAGTGTTTAATTTTTGGTCAACTAATTATTTTAAATTAATTTCCCTAATTCTAAAAATAATAATAAAATGCTTCTAATTATATCTTAGTAGATGTTTCTTTTCTTTTTTTTAATTTATCTAATAACTATTTTATATACCTATTTAAATCTAATCTAATTATTTATTTTCTTTAATTTCTTAAATCCAAAAAATCCAATAATATATGTCAATGGCTAATCATTTTATCATTTTATTTTTATTTGTAAACATTGGTTATTGGTTATTGGTTTCTTTCGTGATTTATTTCATGTGTGTGATAATTACTTTTTTTTATTCGTGATTGAATTATATGTGTCCATGATTTACTTATGTGTATGTTTGATTGTATGGGTGTATGTCTTGCATTTCCTATCCCCACACATCAAAAAAAATGTATTCTTTCCCTATGAGATGTAAGGAATGTGTCGCTTTGTTATGCTTAGATAGTTTCTAATCAAGGTTAACGCCAGTCATACCCTTCTCAATATAAATTCTCGATCCAATGTCGAGCCATTTTCCACCTTGTAAGTCGATTGCTTTCTAAGCATCGCCATCAACCTTTTGATCACCATACACGACATTCAATGCTTACTCCTGGGCTTTCTTACAGTGAGACCTATTCTATCAATTACTTCTAGTTGGTCGTTTAGAAGACTAGCCCACTTTGCTAGTGCACACGGTTAAAATTATGTTCAATTGCTTTCTGGTATGATGGTTCGAGTCGAAACCCTAGAGTTCAAACCATTAACTTTTCTATACGCAAATTTAAAACTCGACCAACATTGAGCATTTTCTTAAATTCAAATCAATTAATTTAATCATAATTAAACTATATAAAAGATGAAAAGGGATTTGGAATTGAATCTTCGATTTCTCTCCTCAATTGTTTGAGCCCGATGATCCTTTCTTAAGTTTGAATAATTGTCTTCTTTAAAAGATTTATAACTCGATTTTAAATCAAATCAATTCTTTCAATACTAAGATGAAAAGAGAAAAAGTCAAGTCTTTGACTCATTCTCTCGATCACTTGAGCCCGGTGAGCCTTTCTTAAGCTTCGAGTAATCGTTATTCGCAACTCACGCTAGCTACATCAAACTCTTACCGACCTCTTTCAACCAACTTTTTCGCACGCAAGTGCAACTAAACTCTTGATCCAACATCTAGTGGATTTTCTCAATCAAAATATCAAAATAATTAATAATTATTGAAACTCTTTTCAAGGTGAAAAAGAGAGGGATCGAGCCTTTGATCTCTCTTTAATGGTTTGGATGCGAGTTATCTTACTCGTGTATGAGCAGGTGACGCGTCTAAAACACTTCCAACTCGACAACATTCAATCTATATATGCAATCTCCACTAGTGGAAAAAAGGCTTTTTAAGTCGGGTCCGAGCCCGACCTAAGAATTACCGACATAAGAAGTTTTGACTTCTTAAATCGGTTGTGGACCTGACTTAACAAAATATTATTAGGTCGATTAGACAGAAACCGACTTAATAAGTCTAGCCTGCAGAAACCATTTATACCCGACCTAAGAACTTACTTTCTTATATCAGGTATAATTAACCGACCTAAGAAGTTGTTTTTTTTTGTAATAACACTTTTTTTTTAATATATATATATATATATATATATATATATATATATATATATATATATATATATATATATATATATATATATATATATATATATATATATATATATATATATATATATATATATATATATATATATATATATATATATATATATATATATATATATATATATCTATATATATATATATATCTATATATATATATATATATATATATATATATATATATATATATATATATATATATATATATATATATATATATATTAAAGAATTGGTTAACAATCAAAATATTTTAAAGATTGGAAGGTTGGAAGTTCATAACAATGTAAAGCCAATATTGCTAAATTTGGTTTATTAACCAAATTAACAGTTTTTACAAATTGCAAGTTGTATCCGGAATTTACAGCTTGGAAACGCGACTTAATTATGAAAATTTCTAAAGCTAAGTTGTTACATGAGGAACAAGCCATTACGTAAATCCTACGAAGTCCATAGAAACACAAGCGACTATTTGTTTGAATAGGCTTTTCGCATTGAAGCAGTCCCAAGGACTCCGCCGAGCGAAATACATGTTGCTATGGTGCTTGGTATATCTCGCGGTAATCACATACATTTGAACAAACAATGAAGATTCAGTAACTATGGTGCTTGGTATATCTCGCGGTAATCACCTACATTTGAACAAACAATGAAGATTCAGTAACAGCTAACGCCAGACGATATCAATAGCAGCTGATATTTACCATTGCGGCGAGCCCAATACCCACAACATATATCCTTCAGTGTCTTATGTTTATGTTTATTACATTAGGAGTGTTGACGTGTCTAGGAGTTTTAGAAACTATTGGAGCAGTTTTAAACTTTTTTAATTCCCAACTATAAATTAATGCAAAACATACTGTTCCACCAAGAAGAAATGCAGCTACAACACCGATGGTTGCACCAATAGAGTCAGCAATAATGCCAATTGGAAGGCCAAATAGATAACCACCACCAAGCTGAAAAAAAGTATGAATTTTATAGTAAATACAACTATTTTCCCAAATGAATCATTCACAAGTGATGCAGGATCTCAGAAATTACAAATGAATTATTTAACAAGTGATGGAGGTGCTCAGAACTTGCATCAAGCAATTGATAAACACATTTTATATTTAACAAATAAATGAAATAAAAGGTGCAATGCAATAATGTCACCAAGTTTAAAGAAGTTTAACAAGGTTTCCAAGAAATGTCAGCTCAGATCAGAGATGCTTACGGTAAGTACGGAGGCCGGAACCGCCAATATCGTCAAAGGAATGTAAGCAACTGCCCTGAAAATAACAAAACAAATACCACATTAATGACCTAACATTAACAGCTATGAGATTGAACAAAATACAACATCTTTGACTTACAGAGCAAGGGGACCCCATTTCCCAAGATCACGATCAACCCATATCAAGAAATCATTCAAAATCTGCAGAGCAAAAATGAGGGGTAATTTTTCAAGAACGAAAATCCAAATGTGATTCAAAGAAATACCTAAATCGAAAAGTAATCAATTGAACAAAAATGCACCTACCCTAAATGAGGACCCAAAAGTGAAATTGGAGGGAAAAAAACGAACCTGTTGAATTGGGAGAATCAAGATAGCAACAATAACAGCGGAAACAAGGAGGAGAAAAAGAGTGATCTTTAGAGCAGAGGTCCATGACCACAACATGTTTTTATATGCAGAGGAGGGGGCAAAAGAGTATCATGTATATCCTGCAACAACAAAGACCCAACATAAGAAATATATTCCTTACTTCAAACAAATTTTCACAACCAGACACATCATTCCCGCTCATACCATCCATAGCAAGATGCATAGGAGTTCTATGAAGAAGTTATGAAAATAATCTAAAATTAGCTTATGAACATGTTAAAAACAGTTTTCATAAACCAAATCGACAAGTCTCACGAGTGTTAATTGTAACAGCCCAAATTTCATTAAATAATTAATTATAGTAATTAATTGATTTAGTGGGATTTTATTAATGTTAGAATTAATTTTTATTAAATGGTATGGATAGAAAATTAAGAAGGAATTGGAGAGGAAGGAAAATGAAGGAAATATATAAGAGAGAAAGAAAAGAAAAGAAAGATAGAAAACATTTGGAAAGAAAGAGGAAAGAAGAAGAAAGGAGAGAAAGAGAAGAGAAGAAGAGGAAAAGTGGAAATCGTCAAGAACCAACATCAAAGCTCCGATTAATCGAGGTAAGGGTGAGAAATGTTTCTATTTGATCATGGTATGATGTTATGTATGTTGGGTTAGGGTTTTAGTAGAGTTTCCATCACTTTCTATTTAGGGCAAAATGTTGGATAATCGGTAGATTGAGGATTTAATCGGTTGAAACTGAGCAATAATGCCGTAGAGTAGTCGGGTAACATGTATTGATGTTGTTTGTACTGATTTGGATGTGTAAGAGAGGGTTGATGATGGATTGGTGAAGGAGGAACAGAATGGGGTTCTGTTCTGCGCAGGTTCGCTGGCTCTCGCCAGGCAAGCAAAGGCGAAGCTTCGCCAGGCGAAGCTTAGCAAATGTTGGCGAATAATTATAATTATGTCCCAGTAGACTTCGCTGGTGGGTTCGCCAGGCGAAGTTGAGTAGCGAGGGTTCGCCCAGCGAAGGTGCTGGCGAATGGTGGCGAATGAAGTCAGTAGCTACTGACTTGGGCTCGCTGGGAAGTCTCGCCAGGCGAAGCCTAGCGAGTGTTCGCTGAGAGAGTTCGCCAGGCGAAGGCCAGGCGAAGGTTCGCTGCGAGGGTTCGCCAGGCGAATGAAGGCGAATGTGGCAGTATATTTTCTTTGCTGTGTTATCCAAATGGGGATTGTTTGGTTGATTCGTATATGTTTATACTTCTATGTTATGAATGAGTATGTGAACTATTATGATAACATTTGCTGTGGGTAGCCTTCGGGCGTGAATCCTAGAGTTGTGATATGAATGATTAATTGTAATCAGTTAAAATACATGAGAACATAATGATGATTATGTGTGTATTAATTGATGAGTTGTGAATGTTTGATTGTTGTGTACAATTATGTAATGAGTATGCATGAGAACATTTTGAATATGTGTGCGTATCTTATAATTGTATGATTGGTATTGCAATGTGAATACCTTGATTGTTGTGATAATTAGAGATACATGGGAATACAATGAGGAATGTATGTGTATCGTCTAATGAATTGTGAGTGCATATATGTATGCGATTGTTGTGAGAATGCATGGGAACATATGTGATATGTGTGCATTGTTGTTGAATATGATGATGTGTGAAATGAATACATTGATAAATGTTTGATATATGTTGTATGTGCAATCATAATGAAATTCTCGAAGGGGTGAATTATTCGAATGCATGGGATTAAGACGCGGGAACGGTCTTAAGTGCAGTTATTGTGATTGGTTGATTGTACATGCATCATTCAGTCAAGAGGCAATGTCTGTTAGTTTCGTGGAAACTAGTGGCTTGTCCCAAACCTAGAAGGGTGGGTTTGAAGCCTAGGGGACGGGCTTGGATGTTATCGGTCTAGAAGGGTGGACCCGGTTTAAAGTAAAAACCGAAAAATGATAACGAGTTATCGGTCTAGAAGGGTGGACCCGGTTTAACGTAAAAACCGAGAAAAGATAACGAGAGTCGGTACCGCATAGCATTGAATTGCATTAAATATGTCGAGTCACATTGCATAATATTGTTGTGGTACAAACGTGCTTGTGAATGATTGTGAAGTCAAGCATGAAGGGATGTGCTTGTGGATGTTCATAATGTTGATAGATGTGACGTAATATGATTATGATTATGATTGTGAGAATGAAGTGTGGTGAGAAATGTGAATATGTGTTATATGATACCTATATATATATAATCTTATGCTTTGATTATTATGGTTATATTTCTCACCCTTCTGCGGTTTTATAATGCTCTATGAGGCATTGCAGATTAGGATGCTGGAGTTCTTTTGTGAAGAATAGTCTTCATTCTTTTGAGTCTACTGCTCTGATATGTAACACCGGGTAGTTAGACTAGTACAGTCATTCTTTTGTGATACATTGCGATGTATCAGCTGATGTGGTTTTGTAATCTAACTGATATGATATATATTAAATTGGATAGCTTATGTGTACGAGGATTAATATTTTGAAAACGATCAAATGATTTTATCTTCCGCTTAAATCGAAAATGTTACATATTTTATGGAGCAAAATGTTAAAGTTTTGTTGGTGAAATTGTGGCATTCTTCTTTTATACCTTATTTTAGAACCTTTTTACTCTGATAATTTGTATGTGCTTAATTGTTTTACATGCATTTATTTGGGGTATAGAAGGGGGTGTTACAATAGTGGTATCAGAGCTGGTCGGTCTGTCCGCCCAAGTTGTTAGAGTGTTTTTCCCTGTGTGTTATTGATATGCGTGTGATGCATTATCAATATTGGTTGTTCTTACGTGGTTCTGTTGTTGGAATTAGTAAGATGGTTGCAGGGAGGAACGACGAAGCGATTGCGGAGGCATTGACGAGATTGGCGGGGGCAATTGGGCAGAATCCTCCGGCCAATGTGAATGTGAGGAATCATGCTGATGATGGATTCCGTGCTTTGGGGAAATTCCAAAAGAATAACCCTCCGGTCTTCAAGGGAACTCATGAACCGGACAAGGCACAAATTTGGTTGAAAGCTGTGGAAAAGATTTTTCGAGTTATGAATTGCTCGGATGCACAGAAGGTGCAGTTTGGGACTCATATGCTCGAAGAAGAAGCTGAAGATTGGTGGGGTAATACTCGCCAGAGATTTGAGGAAGATGATATTGTGATTACGTGGGATTTGTTTAGAGAAACTTTTCTGGAGAAGTACTTTCCAGAGGATGTGCGGGGGAAGAAAGAGATCGAATTTCTTGAGTTGAAGCAAGGTAATTCGACGGTTGCTGAGTATGCGGCGAAATTTGAGGAGTTGATCAAATTTTGTCCTCACTATAATACTGGTAATGCTGAGAGGTCTAAGTGCCTCAAGTTTGTAAACGGTTTGAGACCCGAGATTAGACAAGCTATTGGATACCAGGAAATCAGGCGGTTTTCTGAGTTGGTTAACAAGAGCAGAATTTATGATGAAGACAGTAGGGCTAGGTCTAGCCACTACAAGAGTCTAAGTGATAAGAAAGGAAAAGGTCAATTCAGAGGAAAACCTTATGTGACTCCTGCAGACAAAGGGAAGCAGAGAATGGGTTATGGCAAGAGGCCAAGTGGGGGAGTTTCTACTCCGGTGAGATGTTATAGGTGCGGTGAAGCGGGACATCGTGCTCCCGAATGCAAAAGTGTTGAGAAGGCGTGTTTTAAGTGTGGCAAGCCAGGCCACAAGGCGCTTGAGTGCAGAAGCGGTACGGGTGTTACTTGCTATAACTGTGGTGAGCAAGGACACATTAGTACGAAATGTGATAAGCCGAAGAAGAATCAAGGGAGCGGGAAGGTGTTCGCTCTTTCTGGATCTGAGACTGCTAGCGACGATCGATTGATCCGAGGTACGTGTTTTATTAATGGTATACCTTTGATCGCTATAATTGATACCGGAGCTACGCATTCTTTTATTTCTTTGGATTGTGTTAGAAGGTTGAATCTTGAGTTGTCTGTGATTGGTGGCGGTATGGTTATTGATACTCCTGCTATGGGTTCGGTAACTACACCGTATGTTTGCTTGAATTGCCCGTTGAGTATTTTCGGTAGAGATTTTGGGATTGATTTAGTGTGTCTTCATTTAGATCAACTGGATGTCATTCTTGGAATGAATTGGTTAAAATTCAATCGTGTGTATATTAACTGTTTTGACAAAACGGTTATTTTTCCCGATTCGGATGTTGAAAGAGATTTGTTTATGACGAAGAAACAAGTGAAAGAATCGGTGCAAGATGGGGCTAAGGTATTTATGTTTATGTCAACTTTGAGGACTAGTGAGAGTGAAGAGATTGAGGCTTTGCCCATTGTTAGAGATTTTCCGGAAGTATTCCCTGAAGAGATAAAGGATTTACCGCCGGAGCGAGAAGTGGAGTTTTCGATAGATTTGATTCCTGGAACTAGTCCGATATCAATGGCTCCATATCGTATGTCGGCCTCAGAGTTAAAAGAGTTGAAGAGTCAACTTGAGGATTTGCTTGAAAAGAGGTTTATTCGTCCGAGCGTGTCACCGTGGGGTGCACCGGTGTTGTTGGTTAAGAAGAAAGAGGGTTCTATGAGGCTCTGTGTGGATTACAGACAGTTGAACAAGGTGACTATTAAGAATAAGTATCCACTTCCAAGGATTGATGATCTGATGGATCAGTTGGTTGGTGCGAGCGTGTTCAGCAAAATTGATTTGAGATCTGGGTATCATCAGATCCGTGTGAAAGCCGAGGATATTCAGAAGACGGCCTTTCGGACGAGGTATGGACACTATGAGTATTCCGTGATGCCATTTGGTGTGACTAATGCACCAGGTGTATTTATGGAGTACATGAATAGGATTTTCCATCCTTATTTGGATAAGTTTGTGGTGGTGTTTATTGACGACATCTTGGTTTATTCGAAGAGCGAAGGAGAGCATGCCGAGCATCTGAAGATTGTGTTAACTGTGTTGAGAGAGAAGCAATTGTTTGCAAAGCTTTCTAAGTGTGAATTTTGGTTGAAGGAAGTTAGTTTCCTTGGTCATGTGA